AGGCTGCAGACATTCCTTGACACACAGCGACCTCCATATTCAAGCCAGCTGTTATACCAGTGCCCGAAATCTTGGATTTGTGTTTCTGACTTCTGGAGTTCCTAAGCTTTATAGAGACTGAATAGTTTGGTTGAGAGAAAACATGAGGCACATTTTTAATCTCTTAGAAATGAGCTTTATCATTGAGTACTTTTTGAGGTTTTAGCAAGAGAGAACCAAGTACATGCACTCTTAGAGTTCTCTATCATACTTACAAAATTTTCAGGGTGAATATCTTAAGTGCGGATGATTTTTCTGGTTGCATAGGATGGGAATTTCCTAAATCACTATATCCTAGTTCCATTTTGTCTGAAAGATACTCCCTCAATTTATCATTTTGCTATAAGCAACCAGAAGGAAACAGAACATATTTCATAACTGTGCTTGGACATCATCTCACCTAAATGTCCAGTTTTATCACTTACAAATTTTTGCTTTCCATATAATTTTAGCACACATATTTCCTAACGCTTATGCCACTACAATATAAGACTCTCCTTTCCTGCAATGTCCAGTAATGTACTCTGCACATCTTAATGATCCCTCAAAAAATAGGGTGTTTAAATTACTTTTCATTGGGCTCAGAGTAATCATCCTTTAAATTATCCCAGCCTCTATCTAATTTCCATCTCTCAATTTCTCTGACACTTCTTATGCGTTGATACTGTCAGCACCAAAATCTGTATAAGTATTCCATTAACGTATAATGACTCAGTTCAAACTGAGCAGCTTAAAACCATGACAACTTACTATCTGACAGTTCTGTGGGTCAAAACTTTGATACAACATGAGAGCAATTTCTGCTCAGAGCATTGTAAGGCTAGCATAAAATTATCAGCTAAGCTGAATTAATGTGAAAAGTCTAAGGTCTAAAGTCCCTAACTGGGATAGAAGTAGATCACATTAATTCAATCTGGGATTGATTTTGTTTAAACCTGGGTTTTAACTCTTGCAAAGACAATTTTATCTTATATTCACCTTCATTCCTAGAGCATAATCCTTCATGGTACCTATTGAAATTCAAGGATAATTGTATTAAACCCCATACCCCTTTAGAATCTGAGATTTAGAATTCAATTTATGTGCCCCATCCACTTGAGCCTGCTGAAAACTACTCACTCCCCAGCTTGATTTCCTCAACTTTCCTGTTAAAAATGTCTCGGGGGTCTCATGTTCAGCAGGCGTCAAGACAAACTAAGGGTGAGGCAAAGGTGTTCTTCTGCAGCAGAATCACTGGAGACAAACTGGTGTTGAAGAATGTTTGAGAGAAGTCACAAGCTTATATAGGAGAAGGGGGTGGGCAGAAGGGCAGTTCTGACATGATAGAACAACAATATTATGACTGGCTAACATATCTATCTCTTCTGTACCCTCCAATGAAGTTAAAGGTCAGGAAGCATAGGAAGCACAGGAAATTGTATCTCAGCGCAGGCTCCTTAAAGCAGGATGAATGTAACATTTGACTTCCTAAAGTTGTTTACAAAGAAAGTCTTAGCAGAGTAGGGAAGAGAGACTGGGGTGTAGCCCATCACTCCTGTTGCATGCCCAGTGAACAGGCCATGTTGCGGTCTGTTAGCTAAGGGCACAGTGTGCCATGTGCCTATGGCCTCCCATATGGGGTAGGCAGCTGGAGATCCAGGGGTGATCTCCAACAAAAATGCTTCAGGGCAAAGAGTTGTGTCAAAAGTAGAAATCACTTTCGTGGCCTTCTTTGCCTCTTCAAGATTTTGGTCACACACTTCTTTACTGCCTTGTTATATTTGTGATGTCTTAAAATTGTTTTGTCCAACTTTTCTAGTAGCCCTTCACAGGAAGGTTTGATCTGAAATATGCTATGTGTCCATAGTGGGAGTGTATTTTTTTGAGAGTACCCTTATTCAACTTGATTCATATTGTAAGAAGAGTAAAGTCATATTGTTCTTCAAGGGTTAACTATAGCAGATTTGCCTGAGCTGTTAAGAGAAATAAGAAATGCATCTTCAGGGCAATAATTTATAATAAAACATACTGATTAAGTTTAGTGTTTTGAAAACATGGGCCTGAATACCTATAGAGATATTTGAGACAGTTTGTCAGGCTTTTTGGCAACAGTGAAAATTATCATTTACATATATAATAGGTAAACCTCCCTGTCAAGGGGCCTGCTGTTGAGACTGGCTACGTAACAGAGATAGTTTCATATAACTCACAATGTACTAGAAACCTATACTGAAACTCAATTTTACACTCTGTGCTTCTGAGTCAGAATCATCCTGGTAGCATATGAAAAATAAGGATTCTAGAGCACCATTCAAGGAATGGAAGGTGGTGATCAGAAGTTCATATTTTTTCACTTTATTTATTTGAAAGGCAGGGGCTGGTACTTCTGGCACAGAGGGCTAAGCCTTCATCATCCCAAATGGGCACTGGTTCAGATAGTGGTTGCCCTACTTTCAATACAGTTCTCTGATAAGGACCCTGGGAAGGCAGCAGAGGCTGGCTCAAGCCCTTAGACCCCAGAATTCATGTGGGAGACCTAAAAGAAGCCTCTAGCTCCTGGCTTTGGATTAACCCAACTCTTGACATTTGTAGGGTGAACCGTTGGATGGATGATCTCTCTCTCTCTCTTCTTTCTGCTTCTATCCTTCTTTCTCTCTGTCTCACTCTATAATTCTGCTTTTCTAATTAAAATAAGTAAATCCTGGGCCCAGAACGATAGCATAGCAGTTAAAGTCCTTGCCTTGAACACACCAGGATCCCATATGGGTGCTGGTTCTAATCCTGGCATCCCCACTTCCTATCCAGCTCCCTGCATGTGGCCTGGAAAAACAGTCAAGGACGGCCCAAAGGCCTGGGACTCTGCACCCACATGGGAGACCTAGAAGAAGCTCCTGGCTCCTGGCTTCACATTGGCTCAGCTTCAGCTGTTGCAACCGCTTGGGGAGTGAACCATCTGATGGAAGATCTTCCTGTCTGTCTCTCCTCCTCGCTGTATATCTGCCTTTCCAATAAAAATAAATAAATCCTTAAAAAAATAAGTACATCCTTAAAATGGGATAATGAGCCAGTGTCAAAATGTCAGTCAATGAAATCACTTAAAACAAAAACACAAAGGCAGGGTTAAAGACAGACAAAGGGAGGAAGATCTTCTATAGCTGGCTCACCTCCCCATATGTTCATGAACGGCAAGATTGGGCTAGACCAAAGCCATGAGCCAGAGGCTTCCTCCAGGTTTCCCACAAGGATGCATGAACCCAAAACACTGGACCATCTTCTGCTGCTATCCCGGAAGCACGAGCAGGGAGCTGGATCTGAAGTGGAGCAGCTGGGCTTTGAATCGGTATCCATATGGATTGCTGAGGTTGCAGGTGACAGCTTTACTTGCTAAACCACAGTACCAGCCCCAAGAATTCACATTGTAGTGAAATCCTCCAATGATTCTGACACGAGCAGCTAGCACACTTTAAAAATGCATTAACTGAGGCCAACATCATGGAATGGTGGTTTAAGCCACTGCCTGAAATGCCAGCATATCATCTGAGCACCAATTTAAGTCCCTGTTGTTCTGTCACCAATCTAATTACAAACTAATGCTCCTGGGAAGGCAGAAGCATATACCCCAGGTGCTTGGACCACTCTACCCATGTGAGAGATCCAGATGGAGTTCCTGGTTCCTGGATTTAGCCTGGCTCAATACCAACAGCACTGGCCACTTTGGAATGGATTATTTTTATCTGTCTCTCCTTCTCTGTTACTCTGTCAAATAAATTAAATAAATCTTTAGAAAATGCATTAATAAAATGAAAAATGGTTAAATTTGTGGTACAAACACCTTTCTATTATATTCCTTTTAGAACATCAAGTAAACAAGCACTGCTGGAGAAATAGTGCACGCAGGAAATAATGTTAGACAAAGTATCTTGAATCAGCTAATATTATTCATGAATGAATTAACAATTTATTACTAGTCAGGCACTGTGCTGGCACTAGGGGCACCAGAATAAAGGGCACACTGGGCTTTGTGAAAGAGTCAAATGTTTCTCAGTTTTTTAAAAGCTGCACTCTATAGTCAGAAATGCATTATTAATTGTAACAAAAGCATGCACAGGGATACATATACAAAGCTGAAACAAATATCACAAAGCAATACTCTTCTTCCATACCTGAAATACAGTCTGATATTTGTTATTATCATCATGCCTGTTCTATTTTTTTCATTCCATTTTATTTGTTTTTTTATTTTTAAAATTTCATCTGTTTTTCATGAACAACAACAACAAAAGCATCATTTAAGTGCTACCCCACTGAGTAACTATGACTGTGAAGTGGAGTGTTACCTACACTTCTCATACTTGTCAGAGAGATGGGATGAGCTTGGCTTAGCTCAGTAAGGACTAACTCCAGGGAGATCAGTTGGGCTTTGTCACCCTGAACACCCATCCCATCAGCAGCAATGGAAGCCTTAAGAGGGTGCAGGATGTAGGAGAGGGGCACCGTTTCCAGCAGACATTACACCACCCAGGAAAGGATAGCACCCACCTTTAAGCTTCCAGGACTTCTTCCTGAGTAAGGGTGAAATGTGGGCTAGTCCTCCTCCAAGTGCCCTCTGGCTCTTAGCTCTGCTACTGTATATTCTGTATCTCATCTTAATTCACTTCTTAATTTTGGGAAGCAAGTATTTTAACTAACAACCATTTTAGTAAAAGGCGGAAGATTTATACGATCTGAAGAGAAATCAGAGTATCTAACAACCGTTTTAACCAATGATTAGAACCATTCATCTGTAGTATTGCAGGATGATTCCTCCAGATATATCAAAAGTAGTATGTTTAACCTATCATTTTAAGTTCTGATAAGAATTATGTCTTCGTTGCATTTATAAGCCCCCTTTTTATTTATGGCAATTTTTTTGATTTTTAAAAATTATTTGGTGAAAGAACTATGCATTTTTTTTGTTAGGAAAAATTAAACAAGCACTTGAGCCATCTTTGCTTTATTTTTCCAAGAATCATGACATTTTGTAATGCCGGTGGTGCAAATTCGCTGTGGAAACAGGAGTATTGCACTTGAGTAACAGTACATCTAAAGCCAAGAATTAGCGGAAGGTTAAAAGACAGGATGTGACAAATGCCTGCAGGGACACTACAGATAAGGAATGTCTTCAAGGTCCCTTCGTGGGGCCTTGCAGCCACCCCTGAAATCCGTTGGGGCCCTCGGGTGGAAGGGGTCCTGTAAATTTTTTTGCATCCACACAAAAGCCCCCAGTTTCTGTCTGCATTTTCTCCTTTCATCCTCCACCCTAGCCATGTTGTCAAATTCTCTTATCATGTCCTCATTGCTGAAATTCATATTGTGTATGGACTCTTTATACTCCTTGAGATACTGAGCCAGCCCCTTGTTGGTTTTTCTTTTGGCTTTCCTGGGTACATCATCCTCGGCCGGGCGCTTTTCTGCAGCCCTGGTCTCTGGCTCCAGCTTTGCAGAACCCTTCTCTTTTGCGGTTCCCTCACTCCCCGGCTCGCCTTCCTTGGCCTTTCCCTCACTCTCAGGCTTTCCCTTCTCCAGGAGCATTTGCTTAACTTCTGTCTTTCCCTTATTCCCGAGTTCGTCCTTGTTTTCCGGAGTACTAGCTGCCTCTGGATTTCCCGAAGCCTGTGGCTGTCTGCTTTCAGTCATTCTTTGGTTGGAAGGCATGCCTTCGTCCTCAGTGTGCAGAGTTTCCATGGTGAGACGACCTTCCTTCTCCTGGGGGCAGGGGCAGAGGGGAGGAGACAAAGGAACACAGGGAAGACTCAGGAGGTGGGGACATACACAGCAGGTGCACAGGCTTGCATCCCACCTCCTGGGGTGGGGGAGTGCTCCAGGTGTGCCCTCTGCCCACTCCTTGCCCCTCATGTCTGAGCCACCAAGGGCCTGGCAGGCGCTGCCACCTGCTCCAATCCATCTCAGTGGGACAGGACTCCTAAATGGTGGAGAGGGGGCTCAGGTGGCGGGACCCGCATTCGGCCCAGACAGGGCCCTGCTCACCAGAGACTCTTCTGGGTCTCCTCCAGGCCTCCCCCTGTCACTGGCCTGCAGGGGGTCCTCACAGGTTGCTCCTGCTCTCCGGGCTTCAAGAGGTGCTGGGAACCAATGACGTGCAGACCTGCAGGCAGGGCACAGGGGCAGGGGCTGCGCGCTCCGTGGTCTCGTGAGGCCTCAGTCCTGGGCAGAATCCGGGCCTCCTCACCCTATTCCTCCCTCCTCTGCCTCTCCGCACCCCAGCCGCCATTTCTGTCCTAGCCGCGGGCGCCAAGCCGTGATGCTGGCCCAGCTCCGGGTGGCGCCGGTGCCTCCTCTGCAGGCAGCGCCTGCGTCATGGCGGCGCCTTCTTCGCCCAGGTCGGTGCGTCTTCAGAGGCGCAGAGGCTGCGGGGTCTCGTCCCCAGGGTGCCTGCGTTTCACCGTCGCACTGCGGGACTCCCCCCTCCCCAGCCTGCTCCAACAAGATGGGGTTTGGGGGGCGAGGACCAGAAGGCTGCCACCCGGATCCCGGGCCCCCGCCCCCGCGCTGCCTACTCTGCTGCCCCTTCCTCCCGACGACCCCTCCCTGGCCAGGGATCTCGCTGCTGCCACCTGCACCGTGTCCCGGGTCCGCGCCAGTGGTGGCCTCCACACTGACCTGTGGGCACGCGGGACAGCCTGCACCTCCTGGAGCTTTTGCGACTTGCCAGCAGCTCAGACAGCTCAGGGAACGAGTTCTTCGCGGCGCAGGGCACTGGACTGCAAGACAGGCGCAGAAACTTGATGCCCAGGTTGGCGGCTGGATGGTCACATGAGTGTTGCGTCACCGGAGCTCGCCTCTGTCTAACCAATCCCCCACCCCTTCCGCCAAAACCGACTTCACTTTCACCGGAAAGCTGTGCAGAATGGGCTTGTGAAGAAACCGTTAGGTTGTGTCTTAGAAGAAAAGGGAGCAGTTTTATGCCCGGGTGCTTTACATAGTGAATCTCATACCATCCTCATTTCTCTCATTTGCCCAACATCACTAGGTGTGACAGCCCAACAGAGAGCATTTCTGACTTTGCCAAGAGGCTTGGCTCCCGAACCCGTAGTCTGCTTTCAGGAAGACTATTGCCTGTGTCCAGAGCTCTGCTCTGTGATTGTTGCCAGAAAGCTAAGCTGCCTCTTGAGTGATGCTGTTCTTCGTGGTTCTCTCTTGGGCTGCCTTTCTCCTGAGACTATGGGGTTCTCTCTCCCTTAATAATCTCACGCATTTCTAAGAACCAATGACTTCCAAATGTGCATGTGCACGCTTTTCCCTCCTGCCTCAATGTCCCTGTGAAAGTCATTTCCCCACGTCAAAACTCCTTTCTTGTTTTCTTCGTTGTCCTCTCTCCACATTCAGAATTTGGCCTTTCTCAAGAGAGACTGTTAGAAAGCTAAGGTAGAAAGCATTAAAACATGTCTGAATATGGACTTCAGAGGCACACATTCATCATCATGCTTGGGTAGACAGCATGCTCTTAACATTGACCAGTGTTTGTTCTTTTCCATTTTTTTTGGTCCCTTTCCTTCCATATTCCCCTTCTGTTTTACTGCTTTTTCTTTCACATTTATGAAACCTTCACCAAGTCAGAAAAGTAGAAAATCACCAATATCGCGTTTGTATAGCCCAGTGACACTCATTCACATGTATATATTTATGTATGTTGATGAACTGATGTGTGCAAGCACGTGGGATGTATGCGTCTATGTATAATTTATGTCCCACAGCAGGATAGCTCAGCATGTACTTCCCATATGTATGTCACAGACAATCTATCATTTGTTTCCCCATGATCTTGTCTGCTATTTATCTCGCACTGTCATACATTTTGGATGTCCATAGCATGATAATTGGAAGAAGTAGCAGCATCAACACCTCTTAGCACAAATAATTGGAGAAGCATTTGGCACCAAAAATTGTTCTCACCACTATCCAGAAAAACGTTAGCTCTATAGCTGTTTTTGCATGGTCTCTGTCATTTTAATAATGGGAAACCTTGAATGTTATCCTTTAAAGGGGGCACAGTAACTACATTGAATTAGGAGACTCAGAATATAAGCAATTCATTATCACTGTGACCAAGTGTTAAAGTGAGAACTACTCATTGATATTGCATCCCACACACTACTAAATAAAACCACAGCAGAAAGAAAGAAAGAAAGAAAGAAAGAAAGAAAGAAAGAAAGAAAGAAAGAAAGAAAGAAAGAAAGAAAGAAAGAAAGAAAGAAAGAAAGAAGAAAGAAAGAAAGAAAAAAGAAAATTTAAAATGGAGATGTGTGGTCGGGTCAATAAAGATTCTCTAGGGTATCCATCCAGATCCTAATCTTAAGACAAACCTATGTTTTGCGAAAGTTGGCTAGTTCAAGGATTTTGATATGTAAAGATTATCAGAGATTATCTAGGTAGGCCTTAAATATAACAAGTATCCTTATTACAGGGGTGGGGGAGAGGCAAAGAAAGACTATTAAAAAGAAGGCAATGCGACAATGTAAGATTCTAGCTTTGAAGGTGAAGAGAAGGGTGAGAAATTGAGAAATACACACAATAATGCTATAGAAACACAGGAAAGGCAAGAATATGGATTCTTTCCTGGAGCCTCCAAAGGCATCAAGGCACTGCAAACACCTAACACTAGCCAAGGAATACGGATTTCAAACTTTCATTTTTTTTTCTAGTATAAGAGAATTAATGTGTGTTGTTTTAAATCACAAAGTTCATGGTGATTTGTTACAGATACACTAAGAATCTATATGAAGTTTGCTATATATATTCCAGCTTACTTTACCAAATACTGGTAATAAAAAAAGTATGGGTAAACTAAATACTATGCCACATCAACAGGCAACGTTTAGACTGCTTTGTTGAAATCAGAAGGTATTTTTACTCTAGAAGTAATGTATTTTAAGTCACTAACACAGTGGCTTGAACACAGCCAGAGTTCAATTAGGTGTTTTCTCAGTTTCATAGCGAAGAAAATGCCTTTTATAAAAAAAAAATCTTAAGATAATTGTAGATTTACATATAATTGTAAGAAATCAAAGAACTCTGTATTATTCCTTCATTTTAAGAAATAACAGGAATCTTTTCTATCCCTTTACAAATATTCCCTTAATTGTAATATCTTGTGTATCTACAGCACATTCAAAATCACAAACAAAAAATTGATGTTGGTATAATCTAGCAACATTATCCAGACTTCATTGCTTTACAGACACTCATTTCTGTGTATGTGTATTAATTACATGCGATTTTATCATACAGATATTTCCACAGAGGATCTCATTAACTTTCACACAGATCAGAGAGAAACAGCTAGCTCAGGAGGACTGACTTACCCAAGGTGTTGAGATGTAGCTACTTATTCCCAGTACTCTGTTGCAATAGTCTCCTGCAAATCTTATTTCTGGGTCAATCAAATATACTATTACTAAGAAATTAACAGAGAATATACAAAATAGTATGGAAATATATATATAATAATATAAATGGAGTGAAATCTTTTCTTTTTTTGTTGTTGTTGTTGTATAAACAAGTATTAGTTTTTTTTTTTTATTGTTGCTTACATTGTATTATGTAGTACAGTTTTATAGGCGCTGGGGATTCCCCCCACCCCTCCCATACCCCTCCCCCCATGGTGGAAATCTTTTCTTTTTAAAACTCTGTGTAATTGGTTCAATTTTTTTCTTCTTTGGTTATTTGAAAATTCACTCCAGTACATAGAAATGAAATTGGAGTTAATATATAATGGAAACAAGAACTGGTGCAGTGGTTCCACTGGCTAATTCTCGACCTGCAAGTGCCAGCATGCCATATGGGCACCAGTTCATGTTCTGGTTGCTCCACTTCCAATATAGCTTCCTGCTTATGCGAAGTCGGTGAAGGATGGATCAAGTCCTTGGGCCTCTTCACCCACATAGGAGATCCAGAAGAAGCTCCTGGCTCCTGGGTCCTAACTTTGGCTCAGCTCAGCTCGGCCACTACAGCCATTTGTGAAATGAACCAGTGGATGGAAGATCCTTTTCTATCTCTCTTTCTTTCTGTTAATGTGCCTTACAAATGCATTCATGTATATATATATGTATTATATATAATAGTATAATTATATAATATAATAATAGATAATATTATATAATAATATAATAATATTTCATTATTATAATAATATAATTATATAATATATAATTATATATAATACATGTGTATCATATACATATTACATATAGTATACGTATTATATATATCATATATATGTGTGTGTATAAATATATAATGGAAACATTTGCTTCCTGTTAAATATTTCCAGTTAGTATTTGAATACTTAAAGATAGGTAATTTGGGATTGTATGTGATGCTATCCTTGACAGCTAACACATGTATAAGTGAGTACTAATACTTTTATTTCTACCTGTGGATATTCCCAGTACATAGAAATATCTGAATCTCAGACGATTTTAGCTGAAGTGTCTGTCAAATAATGTACATCCAATAAATAGCTATTAAAGTGATTTATCTATGATTCTGTGGAAGACATCAGCCCTAATGCATGAAGAAAAACTATAGTTAAATGGATAATATTCAGAGTTTAAACTTCCAGCAGCCTCCTGGCTGCTGGTGGGTCTCAGGACAGGGCGTCTCATGCCTGGATCCGAGACACCAGTCACCATGTGCAAGTGGTGAGCTGTCCCTGGGTGGCCAATGAGCCATTTGGTGCCAGGCTCTGCCTGCTGGCCACCTGGCCGGGAAGCTCTGGGGTTTTGATTTTTTGAATCACTGCTTAGGTAGCTCCAGGTTGAACCCACTGTGCTTCTAGGACTTGAAGCAATCATAAAGATTCTCAGTGACAGTAACTCTTCCTTTGAAAAACTTGTAATCACTGTACAATGCTGACCACCAAATACCAGTCCATGCTAAAGCTATGGCTCGGCACCTGTCCAGCAGAATCATATCCTGTTACTTGACATGATGATGGATCGGGAGAAGGGTCACATTAAGCAGGCCATTACATTAACTAGCACTCGAGAACCATAACCAGGGGTAGATTCTGTGACAGATGTGTGGGCCAAACCCTGTGGAAATTCTAGCCCCACTGGTTAGCTGGTTAGCTCAAGAGTTGGGATGGTGATGGACTAAGTTAGGTGTGACCAAGGAGCCTGCCATCAATCACAGGTAAAGGAAACCCCAACAGTCTGGACTGGTCAGGGCAGCAGCACCTGAATGTGCATCCTGAATAGGGTGTGGGGTGGACGGGCTGCAATGTTCACCAGCTCATACAAGGCCAAATGGAAGGCCAGACTTCGCCAGAACCTGGCCTAAACCCAATGGCATGTATGAGAACTGGGTCTGGGAGTGGATTAAGTGGAGGAACTTGGGAAACTCCCTTGGTGAGTCATAACTCCTGCTGGTGAACATGTGGTCCAGACCTGGGGGTCGGACAACCTGGGCAAAGTAGCTCCAACATCTGGGTAATGTGTCAATTGGTAATGGAACAGGGTGGAACTGGCAGGACTGAACAAACCTTAGCCCACAAGCAAAGCTAGAGACCAGGAGGGAGCACAGGTCACACCGAGCTAGGCTCTTTCACCTACTGGTCTGCATGAGCCAGGAACGCTAAGCCACAGTGTCTAAGGCAGAGGTCAGGACAGGTGAGGGGCTGAGCCAAGCTGAGTCAGAGCAACCACTGGCAAGCATGCGATCTATGGCTGGGAACAGGCCTGGTTGGGGACCTAAGGGGACAACCCTAGCTGGGTTGAGATTCCCGC